TTCATAATATTAGACAGGTGCTGTTTATAAAATACCTATATTACTGTGATTTCGCCACTCTGTGACGGGACAAAGCGCGGCAAACGCAAGTGGTAAACAATATTAACTTCTCATTTATACAATAAGAGAAAAAAAATTGTTTTCTTATCGGTCACCACGCTCAAAAAGTGTAACTTGATTTAATATCAAAGACTTAACTGCATAAATAAAATAAATAATTAATTATAATTGCATAAGTTGATAAAAAATGCTATGCAATAGCTTTACCGCGGCAGTCCCCGAGTGCCACACGTCTTTTTTTTGTAAAATCATCAATTTTACAAAAAACATGTTTTACATGTTTTTTTTTGTAAAATTGCGTCAGTGCAAACTCACGGTATGAAAAACATAGACTGTCGGTATCGGTGTTAAAGCCTTAGACTTAGAATATACTTGGCGTACAGTATATTCTAAGTCTATGGTTAAAGCCATGTTTAAGTCACGCTCATACGGGACTTAACTAGCCGATTAATGCACGGTATGTTTTACTTTTTTTACTTTTTATATGCCAGTGTTTTTACCACAATCCCAGCTAGTGGTAAGTGGTGATGCAGAACCGTTTGGTTTTAATGCGTGGAATATCGACAACAAAGGGGTGAAGATCCGCCGACCACCTGGTCGTCCGATGGTGGAAAGGAGAGAAAGGAATTAAAGCGTGTAATTTCTGTGCACACTCTCCGAAATGCATCCTATAGAATACTGAGCGGCTGGCTACTCTGCGTCTGTGCTCGAGGCTGACAAGGTTGGTTTCAACCAAATCAAGGTTACCCTTGAGCCTCTTCGCACGTCTCTCCACTACTTACTTACTACGAAGGCCTTGTAATGAGGACTGATGTAGGGCTGCAAAGATAATAAGGCCAAACCTGGTGCAATGGGCTGTTGACTCCTTTAAACCATTTAAAACAAGCGGGGAGGGTGGAATAATTCCCATCCAACTACAGATCGGTATTGATATCCTTCTTCCCTATCTGGTGAAAATCTTCAGAGCAAGTTTTATCCCAATCTCTTTTATAATTAAAAAAGCCAAACTGGGAATATATTCCAGAACGATGGACAATTGTCAAAGTTCTATTTATACCTAAGGCTGATAGAAAGGACTACGATTTACCAAAGTCCTTTCGACCTATAAGCCTATCTTCCTTTCTCCTTAAGACATTGGAAAAGGTTATAGATAGATATATAAGGGATGTAGCTCTAGCTACGAGGCCCATCCATTATAACCAGCATGCTTACCGCAGAGGAAAATCTACGGAAACAGCCCTGATCAGTGTTATTGACAGGGTCGAAAAAGCACTGGAGGATAAAGAAATAGCTCTTTGTGCCTTTCTAGATATTGAGGGCGCCTTCGACAGTAGCCCCACATCACTGCTGATTGGGGGACTGACATCTAAAAATGTTGACCCCCGCAACCATCAGATGGGTGAAGTCGATGCTCTCAAACAGAAAGGCAAAAATAGCGCTGTTTCAAACTTCGATTGACGTTGCAACTACAAGAGGCTGCCCACAAGGAGGTGTTTTGTCACCCCTTCTTTGTACTCTTGCGGTTGACCAACTATTGTACAAAATGGCAGACCTACGCATTGACACACTGGGTTATGCTGATGACCTTGTGATTTTCATTGGATTGGGGCTTTTGCCAAAGTACTTTATCGTCAATAATACAAAGAGCCCTAAACACCATAAATAACTGGTGTAGGGATAACAGTTTATCAGTTAATGCTAACAAAACTGTTATAATACCCTTTACCAAAAAAGACGGTTGGACAAGTTAGTTCAACCAAAACTTAATGGTAAAGAAGTACCATTTTCCACGGAAGTTAAGTACTTGGGCGTAACAATCGACCAAAAACTAACGTGGAACTCTCACCTTAGCAATGTACGCCATAAGGCAAAAATTGCTTTAGGTACGTGCAGTCGTTTGGTATGGTCCTATGGCTGTACAGCAGCATAGTGAGGCCGATTCTCACCTACGCCTCTATTGCCTGGTGTAACAAGGCCAACCAAAAGACGACTGCGGACAGACTAAATAGTCTGTCCGCAGGACTGCCTGCTTAATGGCAACTGGAGCTATGCGATCATCGCCGGGAGCGGCTCTTAATGCAATTCTATGCCTAACGCCCCTTGATCTCTATCTAGACAAGGAGGCGAGGGCTAGTTTGTATAGGATTAACACCCAGGGCGGTCTGAGCTTGCTCTCCTACAGAGTGAGATCCATGCTCGACTCAATTGAGGAACACGACTATGCATGATCTCAGATATCATGCGTCCACTACACACTTTTGATAAAAATTATATAGTGGAATTACCCTCCAGAGAAGACTGGCTGAATGGCCGGGTTATCTAAGACGCCCCAATTCAAACTTAGCATGAATTTGAGTAGATACACCTCTATCTTCCAGGCAGAAATTTTCGCCATACTTCGGTGTGCGAAAATCAATCTGCAAAAACACTACGTCAACCATATAATTTACATAAACTCTGATAGTCAAGCAGCACTGCTAGCGCTGAGGTCAAACTTAGTGAACTCGAAGCTAGTTGGAGACTGCATGAACCGTTTAAACGACCTGAGATGTAACAACAGGGTCGTTTTAAGATGGGTTCCGGGTCACGAGGGTATTGTAGGCAACGAATTTGCCGACAAACTTGCACGGGAGGGCTCAAAGTGCACACAATTTGGACCCGAACCATTTTGTGGAATCCCAAGAAACCTAGCCCGATTGCCCTTGAAACTCTTTATCACAATAAATCACTTAAGATCTGGTCTGACACACCAGGCTTAAAACATTCTAAAACCTTAATCCGGGCTTTTGATCGTAAATTAGCTTAAAAAAGCCCTGGGATTAAGTAAAAATAAATTGCACATTCTGGCAAGAGCTCTAACTGGACACTGTTGTCTTAAAAAGCACATGTCCATCCTGGGACTAAGCAACTCAAGGATGTGTCGGTTCTGTTCCATAACGGAAGAAACGCCTCTACACATCCTAACTGATTGCGGACCCTTAACGCGCAAACGTAACACTCATCTGGGAAACTATCTACTCCGCCCAGAAGAAGTGAAATTGCTCACGGCTAAGCAACTCCTTCTATTCATTGAAGACATAGGGCTTAGCCGTGAACTATAGCCATAGCAGCGATCACAATAGATCTCCTAGGTCGCAGTGATACTGGTCTCTTTCCCTAGACCTGCATACCTGCTCGCACTTAATAAAAAAAAACGGTCGATGGGCGCTTATCAGGGGTAAAGCAGTCAACCGTAAAACGGTGGCGGGGCGCTCGGAAGGGTATGTAGGTCGAGCGATCAAGTAGCAAGCACGCTACGCGTTATCGCAATGTTTGCTTGCAATTTTTTAGACTTTACACACACTCTTTTTAGTTTTAGTGAAAAGTAAGGATGTATCGTTTTAGATCAAACTTTTTACTAAATGATGTATTAAATTCATTTTTTTTAAAAGGGAAAGGCACAGTACTGTGGGTGCTGCTGACACAGCACACACATGTGTCGCCCGTGTCAATGTATATGTAATTCGCATTAATTACGATAAAGACCGACGCCAGCGGTACGGCGGTCAGTAGTCGGTTAGCGAGTAAGTTCGGTATGTAAATAAAATTAAAAAAATATATTTTAGGCTGATCTTAGTGACATCATCGTCTATTTTAAAACGGTATTTGAAGAAAAAGTTAGAAGTTTGCTAGAAATACTAGATTCGCTGACAGGGACATCTTTGATAGATAAAGGAAACAAACCGGTTTTGTAAATTTAAAGTATTAGTTTTCTTTTTGCACACTTTTTGGAGTAGAATCCTATGGCAATGATATTTCCAAAAAAAATTTGAATTAAATAAATGAATATTTCGAGGACATGTGAAGTTCGCCAAAACGCATTGGGGCAGCGCGGCGGACATTTCCTTGCCCTAAAACCCACTCAGAAATGGGAGGAGATCGGGACGTGTATAGGCTGTAACTTTAACTACAACTTTTAACTAAAAGAAATTAATTAGAATCTATCGAAATTCAAATCATTTCCGATCGTCTCCATTCACTGGCGCTGCGAAGAGATGTTGCATCTCTTTGCGTATTTTATCGCATCTATCACGGGGAGTGCTCTGAGGAATTGTTCGGATTAATCCCAGCCGCCAAATTTCATGGACGCACTACGCGGCAAACCTCCTGATACCATCCACATCATCTGGAAGCTTGGCGGTCCACCACTGTACGTTTCACTAGGAGTTTTCTTCCGCGTACAACCTCTCTGTGGAATAGTTTACCACCGGCGATTTTTCCGGACCGATACGACCTGGGGACCTTCAAGAAAAGAGCTTACTCCTCTCTAAAGGACCGGCAACGCACCTGCAATTCCCCTGGTGTTACGGTTGTTCGTAGGCGGCGGTAGTTATTTACCATCAGGTGAACCGTATGCTCATTTGCCCCCTCTTCTATAAAAAAATCCACCCTAGCCTGTGACCCTGCGAAGTGACAAGGGCAAAGATGCCGACTAAATTTATTGTTTTATTGCCGTTCGTAAAGTAGGGTGGATATGATTTGATTTTCGATAGATTTTAAGTAATTACTTAATTTATTTAATTCAAAATTTTTGTTTTTAATTTTTGTAAAATATCGGTGATATAGGCTTCTACTTCGTTCATGTATGTAATTACTCTAAGTTCACATGTTATACCATAGACTTGTATATACTGGTGGTTATACCTTTTTTCCAGACGGTAAATATTTCTAATCCTTCTTCTATTACTGGCAACCAATAAAAGAAGGTTAACTTTATTTACAGACCAAGAAAAGAAAATTTGACAAATATGTAACCTTTAAACTTCATTTCTAAAAATTCAAAACAAAACATCAAAACAAACTCCTTTCAGTTTTTAGTCCTTACTAATTTTAATAAATTTTTGTACACCTACTTTGCAACAAATTATAAATAACAGACTTATATAATAAAGTCGTCAATTATGGTTCCAACAGTACTTCATGGGAATATGCGACCAGTGCTCTTAAAACTGGAAAAATGTTAGTAATTTTTCAGGTTTTCATGTCTTTTCCCTCATGTTACCAACACCATCTTTTTAAAATAAGGTGTGGATATTGTGTGAGTGTTTTAACTACTGGCATGTCTTCATTACGTGAAATATTTTTCACGCGGGGTGTACACACACACACACACACACACACACACACACACACACACACACACACACACACACACACACACACACACAACCACACGCACACGCACACCACACCACACGCACACGCACACGCACACGCACACGCACACGCACACGCACACGCACACGCACACGCACACGCACACGCACACGCCACACACGACACGAACACGAACACGAACACGCACACGCACACGCACACGCACACGCACACGCACACGCACACACGCACACAAAAATTCTGAAATCTGAAAATAGGCCTTCTCAAAGAACACCACAAAGTACGGTTCTGAGCCACCTGCATTCATCGGTCTAATCAGAATGTGACTATGTAGTGGGAGGCTACCTTTCATTTCTCGAACTATATAACCGACCCAGCGGCATTTCAGCTTAATAATCCGTTGGGTACACAGCGATTGTATGTACAATGACATCGTCTAAAGTCTCTAAGCTTCGTTAAGGTGTTAAGAATCTGCAGGTGTCGTAGGTTCACCGACGCTCGCTTTTATGCGCTATCTATTATGAGAAGAGTAGAGTTATCTAGGATTCTAAACCAAGCAGGTTCATTCAAACATGCATATTTTATAAAGCGAAATTTTTGGAACTATCGTGATTAATTATATATCCCAAGGATTTTTGCATTAATACGTTTCACCATTTTTACTACCTCACTTTTTATTAACTTAAATATTCCTTACATTAACCGTAATTATTCGGAGGTATAAACTGACTTAACAGTTTTTCGTTCATTACAGCCCTTCACCAGTCCACTGCTGAACATATGCCTCCCCTAAGGAATGCCACAAAGCACGGCTCTCAGCTTACTGCATCCATCGACTTCCGGCATGTCTTACAAGGTCTTCACTCCATCCAGCGGGTAATATTTATTAGATTACCAAGTTTCGGGAACATTCTCATTATTGCAATTTTTAAATCTTTGTAGAAAAAAAGAGATCTGATTTAAAAAAGTCTCCATTTAGCTAGAAAAATTATTCATTACGTTTTCTTATTATAGTGCCACTTGGTCAGTTACGAAACGCTGGTAAAACTAAAATAAGCAGTTTGAATAATGGTAACACTGAAGAAGAGAAGTGTAAGAAATGTAAAAAGCTAATAGCGAAATTGTTTAATACTCATGATAAACAATCGACAGTGAATGCCACAACTGCTAAGCGTGATGAAGAAAAGCTGATTCAAAAATTAGAAACGATAGAAGAGCAACCATTAGTAGAGGCTGAGTCAAAAGTCGAAGGTTTTATTGCTTCACCGAAAATATTGGGAAATAAACATCACACCTCACATCCTGTTGATCACAATTTACAAAATATTTATGGAGCCAATAAAAGGACGACTTTAGACGATATTGCTATAAAGTTGATGAATTTGCCAAGCAATGAAATCGATGAAAATTTGAGAGAAAAATTTGAGAAATATAGAAATTTCATAATCCAAAAAAATATAAAGACAGATGAAATATATGACATGGGTAATAATAATAAGAAAACAGAAGAAGCAATGGATCGACCAGGTCTGAGATGTAATGAAAGACCAGTTATTAGTGATGATAGTGAGGCTGTTGCGAAAAAACGAAGTGAAATGCTCGTTGGCAAATCCATTGATGAATCTGAAGATGTCTCTAAAAATAATGAATTTATATCTGAGCGCGAAGATAAACAACTTTCTGAACAGTCACTGCTATTTTGTAGAGAATACGAGATAAATTTAAAAGAAAACTCAACTGAAAACACCTGTAGGGCGGAAAAACCGCAACCGTTGCATATTGACGTAGAATTTTTAACATTCATTGAGAAAAGTTCTTCGAGAGAGAGAATTCTAAAAAAATTAGAAGAACCGGGTAGCGACCAATTTATTACATCATTTGAACTCACACGGATTCCTTTACCATCGAATGAAACTGCGATCTCTACTCAGGAGAGCAAAATACTTACCAACGGAAAACCAGAAATGGAGCAAGATGATATAAAAAAGAAACCAACACTCTTAAATACAGCAATTTCCTTCAAGACTCTACCCAAATCAATTGAACGTGGAGATGCTATTTCTGAAAAATATTATCAATCTAAAGAAATGGGTAGTTTCAACAGTGGTGCATTATCAAATTCGAAAAGTTCGTTGCTGGATCAGACCCATCGCCAAGGTCACAATGAATCTACGACTACTGCCGACGTAGCTTTTATGACCAATTCGTCGAAAGAAAAGCAGAGTAAAACCACTAATGCTGGATCAATGAATAAACAAGAAGACGCAGTCGATGACGAAAACATTTCACTTTCGGAATTACTGAGAAGGATCAGACAACGAAATAAAAGAGAGCAAGAAAAGAAATACGAGCTCAAGAAACGGTGTTCGGAGACCGAGGGGTGGCTCAGTAAATCTACCTGTTTACCATCATTAGACTTGCAGTCTCGAAGCAAAGAATGTCCACCGCGTCCTTGTCGTAAAAAAGATCCTTCATCTCCATGTCCACCTAAACCCAAAACACCTTGTCCACCTTATCCTTCTGTGGAGAAGCCATGTCCGGCACCCAAAAGCCCATGCGAACGGCCACCTATCTGTCCTCCACCGAAAAATCCTTGTCCTACGCCATGTCCTCCACCAAAAAATCCTTGTCCTACGCCACGTCCTCCACCGAAAAATCCTTGTCCTACGCCATGTCCTCCGCCAAAAAATCCTTGTCATACGCCACGTCCTCCACCGAAAAATCCTTGTCCTACGCCACGTCCTCCACCGAAAAATCCTTGTCCTACGCCACGTCCTCCACCGAAAAATCCTTGTCCTAAGCCATGTCCTCCACCAAAAATTCCTTGTCCTAAGCCATGTCCTCCACCGAAAATTCCTTGTCCTACGCCATGTCCTCCACCGATAAATCCTTGTCCTACGCCATGTCCTCCACCTAAAAATCCTTGTCCTACGACATGTCCTCCACCGAAAAATCCTTGTCCTACGCCATGCCCTCCACCGAAAAAACCTTGTCCTACGTCATGTCCTCCACCGAAAAATCCTTGTCCTACGCCATGTCCTCCACCAAAAAATCCTTGTCCTACCCCATGTCCGCCACCGGAAAAACCTTGTAACCCTTGCCCTCAACCTTGCCCTCCAGCTTACCCTCCATATTGCCCTCCACCTTACCCTTACCCTTACCCTCCACCTTGCCCTCCACCTTGCCTTCCATCTTACCCACCACCTTGCTATCCATCTTACCCACCACCTTGTCCTCCACCTTGCCCTTCACCACAGGATCCTTGCAAGTCTCGCCCGGTTGGTCCACCTTCACAGAGCCCTGGCCCATGTCCAGCACCCAAAAGCAAACCGTGTGGATTCTACATAGGCAACAAATTCAAGGACACAATTACTTTGATTCTATGTGATTTCGGGTCAACGAATATATTCAAAAACACGATTGGATTGTCCACGTTCAATTGTAATATACCACAAAATGTGGGAAACAACTCTCGCAATCTTATGAAGGCGTCGGTCACTGAAAACGTTTTTCTGAGACTTGTAAAATTTGGCAAACAAAATCTGAATTTTCAGTATAAAAATATTGCCGCGGACTCAGAGACAATATATGAACAAAGAGAGAGGAGAGAGGAGGTAATGTATGCACGAAGTTTTGAACCCTGGACACCTATTCCCTCCTGGCCGATGCCAAAGAAGGAGGTAAAAAAACGCTTCATTTGTCCTAAAGAAGGATTCAAGTTACCCACACCAAATTCAACTCATTCAAAAGGCCAATATAAGGAAACACCTTGTACTAAGCCACGGTGTCCAAAATTTTCAGTCATAGACACCTATATAATTCCATAGACAAATCCTTATTATGATTATAAAATTAGAAATAGTGACCAAAGATCGGACATTTATAAAAATAAAAAATAATATCTATTTATTAAAGATACATAAACTATTTATAAATACACAATAAATTTAACGTTTTTCATTACTACTATAACTATTGATAAAACCGTAAATAATATTTAAAATTAAAACTCTAATCTGACCAACGCTTCGAATAGATCCTTCTCATGTCAAATATTATACACTAAACATCCGTCAGTCCCATTGTTAACATTTTATACAAGGATAACGAACAGTACACCTGATGGTACGTGGATGTTGTGGCCTGTAGACACCTACATCTCCGTATTGTTAGTCATCCTTGAGGGTTCAGATGGAATTCCTCGTGTCCGTAAAACTGGTCTCCGATTCTCAATTTAGATTCCAGCTGCTCGACTCACCGTCAGTAATTCATTCTTGGGGGCGATGTGTATGCTTTTACAACAAAATCCCAGAAAATTACATAATTTGGCCTGCACAAAGTGCAAAAATATTGTTAAACTTAGTTTGAATAAAAATGGTTATTATAATATTAAGGAATTTATGGATGCAGGTTCTACCCAGGACAAATATTTTTCCGAATCAGTTACTTTTTATATCTTACTAATTATATTATTTATAATCCATATTGAATAAAAAAGTTTCTGTTTCTGCCCTCACCACACGGAACAGCAGCATTTTTTTCTATAGGATAGGGTGACAATCGAGCACACAGTCCACCTGATGGTAAGTGGTTGCTGTGGCCCATAGACATCTACATCTATCCTCGATTACGAATAAAAATGCAGATGCGTTGTTACCCATGAGGACCAAGATTGAATGCCTCGTTTCCAGTAAAAAGGGTCTCCGGTTCTCTACACTCACCATACGAAACGCAGCAGCATTAAGCTACTATTTCACGCTGGTTTTCTGTGAGGGCGTGGTCCTTCCCCGGTCGAGCCGACGCGATGACTGCGGCATGGCTCTACCTCGTATAAAAATTGCTTTGAGCTGCTATTTTACGTTGGTATTCTGTGAGAGTATTGTAAAGGAAAAGAAAGGAATGGAAGAGATGTTTCACATGTAAAATGTATAAAAGATGATTCTGGAAGGATTTTGACTGACGATGAAAGTATAAAGAAGCGATGGAAGGAGTATTTTGAGAAATTGATGAATGAGGAGAATGAATGGAATGGTACGCTTGAAAACCCACCAGTGAATATGGGCTTAGTGAGAGAAATTAGTGTGGAAGAAGTAAAAATGGCTGTTAGGAATATGAAGAATGGGAAGGCGGTCGGCCCAGATGGAATACCAGTAGAAGTGTGGAAGTTGCTGAGTGCGGATGGATGGAAGTGGTTGAGTTTATTTTTCGGTAAATTGTTGCAGGAAGAACAAATACCTGAGGAATGGTGCAGTAGTATACTGGTCCCCATTTTTAAAAACAAAGGAGACGTTCAAAACTGCAGCAGTTACCGGGGAATAAAACTCATGTCACATACGATGAAAGTCTGGGAAAGAATAATAGAGAAAAGAATGAGAGAAGAGTGTGAGATAACACAAAACCAGTTCGGATTCATGCCCGGTCGAGGTACGACAGATGCCATTTTCGCATTACGCCAATTGTGCGAAAAGTACAAGCGCGTGCATAAAAATCTGCACATGGTTTTTGTCGACCTTGAAAAGGCGTACGATCGGGTTCCCCGTGAGGTTTTGTGGTGGGCGTTAAAGATGAAAGGTATGCCTGGGAAGTATGTGAGGTTAGTCCGTGCTATGTACAGAGCATCCCGTACATGTGTACGATCTGCCGCGGGAACTACGGGCAGTATCGATGTGGCGGTAGGGCTGCACCAAGGGTCGGCATTGAGCCCTTACCTCTTCCTACTGATTATGGACGCTTTGACGTCGGACCTGCAGGATGAGGCACCCTGGTGCATGCTCTTTGCCGATGACATCGTGCTTGTCGGGGAAGAAGGCATCGAGGTACAGAGCAGACTGACGGGGTGGCAACAGAGGCTGGAAAGTGTTGGCTTGAAGATCAGCAGATCCAAAACCGAATATCTGTGCTGTGATTTCGGCGGTCTTTCCAGTCCTGTACCCATGTCGTTGGATGGCGCTATACTGCCTACCTGCTCAGATTTCAAGTACCTCGGTTCCCTCATTCAAGGCGACGGCGGAATAGATAGAGCTGTGCAGCATAGGATTAACGCAGGGTGGATGAAATGGCGACAGGTCACAGCCACAACGTGCGATCCCCGAATGCCAATAAGGCTGAAGGGGAAAATTTACAAATCGATCATCCGACCTGTCGTCATGTATGGAAGTGAATGCTGGGCCATCAAGAAGAAGGATGAAAATAGACTGCATGCGAATGAAATGAGAATGTTACGATGGATGTGTGGTGTGACAAGGATGGATAAGATAAGGAATGAGTATATAAGAGGAAGCCTGAAAGTAGCGCCAGTGGTAGAAAAGGTGAGAGGAAGCAGATTGGCATGGTTTGGGCATGTGATGCGGAGGGATGAAAGTCATGTCACAAAACGAGTGTTGAATATGAATGTGGAGGGACACACGGGCAGAGGAAGGCCGAATAAAAGATGGATCGATTCTGTGAAGAGTGATATGAGAATGAAAGGAGTAAGTATGGAAATGACGGCTGATAGAGAGGAATGGAACAAGAAGATTTACTGCGCCGACCCCAGATAATGGGAAATGGTTTAGAGAATGATGATTCTGTGAGAGTATTGTCGTTCCTCGGTAGAGAAGGCCAATTCGTACTACAAACATAATTATAGCTGCAGAGTGATTCTACCTCCTATAAGTGCAACATATTGGACAAATTATTAACTGAATTTGTGCTGCTATTGAATGATCCACCACACACCATCTTTGCCAGCCAGTGCCAGCAGGGAAGTTAGCTTCGGCACCTTCCATAGAGATGAAGGACTCTTTATCACTCAGGATACAATATGGCGGCGCGAGCGGTACGTGGCATGGAGGTTCTCTAACTTCCATGGTACGTGGTGTCAAAGTAGAACTTGGGAAGTGCACATTGAAATCTATAAAATTACCAACTTTCAAAACTCGCGGAAAACTTTCCAGGTAAAACTACCAAATTACTGTACTATTAAAATTAAAAACCTCTATTCAGAGATAGATTCAAGTTTTATAATCTCAAAATTTGAGTGTATACGATATTGAAACATTGAAATTTGAGTTTTTTTTATAGAATAAGGGAGTTCCCATATTTATCAACGCGGAAAAATCGCTCAGAAAAACCTTTATTTCTACGAAATACGGGAGTTGCTAATGCCATTATCATCGGCTCTGTTCGGACGACGCGTCGTGACGTCGGCCGACGACAGCCTTTTTCCAATTAGCTGATCATAGCTGATCGCATTCGTACGGCGCCGAAAGTAGCCGAAAGACTACGTCAACGTGTTTAAGTTTCCGACGGTAGAGACGGCCAAATGGCTTTGGGCAACAGTCGAATGATGAACGTACGTGAACATCCGTCGCGACGGCCTTTCGAAGGAAATATTTGTAAATAGCCATAGTGAGGTGATACGCAATTGACTTAAGCCGATTCCACGTCAATAAATGTGGGGACTCCCTAAGAGACAACAGTCGAATGATGAACGTACGTGAACATTCGTCGCGACGGCCTTTCGAAGGAAATATTTGTAAATAGCCATAGTGAGGTGATACGCAATTGACTTAAGCCGATTCCACGTCAATAAATGTGGGGACTCCCTAAGAGTGACAAATGATCACTAAGTCCACTTATTGGTAAGTTAATTCTGTAGCCCATAGACATATTCATCTAACCTAAAATTAAAATTCGTGGTAGAGCCACGCTATAGCTATATGATGATTGTAGCACGAATGGGTCGGCTCGACTGGGAAGGAACATGCTCACACAGAATACCAGCGTAAAATAGCAGCTTAATACTGCTGTGTTCTGTATGGTGATTGTTAGAGATCTGGAGATCGTTTTTTACTGGAAACGAGGCATTTCATCTTAGTTCTCAGGGGTGACAATGCATCTGCGTTATGATTCTCAATCGAGAATAAATTCTATGGGCCACAGCATCCACTTACCATCAGGTAGACTGAGTGCTTGTTTTTCACACTTATTTTATTTAAAAACAATCTAAATGAAGATGCCTTGGCACTCCTGAGGAATTGGGAGATGGAATGCTTCGTTCGTGGGTCGCGCTTACGACTGTTGTTCTTTGTGATCCCGGGTCAAATGCCGGGTAGGATCAATAGCCGTTATTGCGTATTTCTGTCTAGAAATTCTTACTAGTATCCCGGAGTCAACAAGTTGGCGGTGCCATCTTGCCTTGGAACTTGGAAAGCATGTTTTTTTTTTTTTATTTATTATTTATCAAAAGTATTCTTACATATTTGCTTGATTTGTACCATTAAACCAATAGTGGTTTGTATTGGTACTCACATTCGTAACTAACGCACTGCTTTACATATAAATAAATACGCCTTCTTTATCTTGTAAGTGGTAAGCACCCATTTGCAATTCTCACCTGGGACTATTCGACGAACCGGTTCTATTAGGCAGCGCAGTCTTCTTAACTTTATACAGGCTGTTTCACTATTATACAAACTAAATTATAACTATGATTCTAAATGATGTTATAAGACGATGTTCTTTATATTATTGTAATAATATTTTTTTGAGTTTATGTTTATAGTTTTTTGTGTTTAAATCTTTTTGAATGTTTTGCGGGATGTTGTTTATAAAAGTTGGGATTAAAAATTCAATAGTTCGCCTACCATAGTAATTTGAGATCCTAGGCACAATTAATTTTTGTTTAGTAATATTTCTTGTAATTACTGTATGAGATACTGGTATTTGGATGCTTTTATTGTTGAATTGTTCAATTAATAGGGTCATGTGAAGTTTCATATGCATTGGTAAAATATTACAGTAATTAAAAATGTCTAATACGTTTTCTTTATATTGTTGTATTATTTTTTGGGGTACAATAAGTTTAAGTAATCTTAGCTGTAGTTTATATATTTTTTCAGTATATGACTTAAAGGTTCGTCCATAACTTGAGATTCCGTATGATATAATTGACTCAGCTAAGGCTTTATATATATTCAGCAGGACTTTATACGGTACTTTAGGCTTTAAGATATAGAATTTAGCCAGTATAGCTCGTAACTTCTCACAGAGAGAATCTATGTGAAATCTCCAGCTAAATCTATTGTCTATAATTAGTCCTAAGTAAGTGTGATGCGGTACTTGTTCTATTGCCTCACATTTACAAGCGTTAGTTGAAGCGCAAGATGAAGTTGATTTGTGCAGACATCTGTGACTGTGAGCAATGATCTTAAAATACGTGTTGTGTTTTAGATAGCTTGAGTGAACGTGAATCACTTTGGTTTTATTTGCATTCAAGACAAGTCCCGCATCATGTGACCATTTGGATACCTGTGTAAAATCCTGCTGCAGCCATTTAGCAGCTTCTTTTAGATCTTTGCTGGCCGCCAAAAGGCACGTGTCATCTGCGTATTGATAAACGGAACAATGGTTGACAATATGTTCCATATCGTTGACGTATGCTAAATAGTGCAAGGGTCCAAGCACCGACCCTTGAGCTGTTCCTTCAGTAACATCTATAGCGTCGCTGACTTCATCACAAATTTTAACTTTATATATGCGATTATTTAGGTAATCTTTGAACCAATCTAAAATTGGGCCGCGTACACCGGTATTCTCTAGTTTATTTAAGAGAATATCGTGTCGAAGCGTATCAAATGCTTTGCTGAAGTCTATGAATAACAGAATTACGTGGTTTCTGTCATCTAGATATTTGTTTACATCATTTGTAAATTTTGACAGCAGTTTAGAGGTAGATTTGTTAGGTTGAAAGCCGTATTGTGAATTTGATAGGATGTCATTTTTATTGTAGAAGTCTTGTATCTGATTACAAACATATTTTTCTACTATCTTGTCAATGACTGGTAGGATAGTAATTGGTCTATAGTTGGCATAATCACTGTGACTACCTTTTTTATATATCGGTCTCACTATACCTATTTTTAATTCATCTGGATACTTTGCTTGGCCTATGCTATTATTTATTAATTTAACAATAATTCCTACCATCTTATCACAGATAGATTGTATGTCAATACATCGGATATTATCCACACCAGGAGCTTTATTGATTTTAAGGTTTCTTACAATCTTCATCACACTTTCATTTGAGGCTCTTTTAAAATACATAGATTTATTTTCGGGGAACGTATATTCTGATTCATTTAGAAGCCGTTGGTTACATTTTGGCAGGATTTTTTTAACACAATTTCTAAATTCTTTTGCAAAGTTATTAGCTATTGATTTTGCGTCAATATTATTTTTATTAAATGTTTTTAATATTGCCTCATCCATTGAATTTTTGTTTCGACCAGATAGTGTATTCAAAATTTGCCATAGATTTCTAAGATTCCTTTTATTACTATTTATTTGTTCCATATAATATTTATTTTTACACTTTTCTATTATTTTACGTGCCTTATTCCTTAATTTATTATACTCTAATCTTAGTAATTTGTCCGTGGGATCATTTTTCCATTTAATGTATAATTCGTCCTTCTTTTTACACATGCTATTAATTTTACTATTTATCCAGGGGTCTTTATTTCTATTACTTATTTTATTACTTTTTTTGATATATTTTGAATTATTGTAACAATCATTGAATTTATTTTTGATGCAATTGTAAATTTTATTTGGACACTCTGTATCTCTGACTTCGTTCCAATCTAGATTATTAAGTAAACTTTTAACTTTATGATTATCAATCTGTTGGATTATTTTTGTATCACCCTGTATTTGTGTTTGGTCGAATCTTACGCACGAAAGTATAATCATGCGATGGTCAGCCAATACAGTTCCGAGCGCGGCCGAGTACAGATCTAACGAGCGCGTACGAGTAAAAATGTGATCAATGCAACTGCGAGTTGTTTCCTACCGCGTATTTCAATTCTTGTGTAATCGGATATCGCGCTTGTTAGACCGCTCTCGGACATACTACTAATGTAGTAGTCTCGGATGTTGTCGCATGTTTTTAAGTCTATGTTAACGTCGCCTAAGAGATAAGTGTCACATAGTTGAAACATAGATTTTGATAATAGGCTACTTATTTCCTTTACAAATAGGTGCTTACTCTCACTTGGTGGTCTATAGACAGCACAGATGTAAGCGGAGTATTTGTAAGGCGTAGTGATCTTACCGATAATAATCTCACAGTGTATTAACGAGTGACTTACTGGCGCGAATGAGTGAACATCTCTAACATATAGAATTATACCACCGCCTTTTCTATTTTTGCGCAACATACTGTGCATTCTATAGCCATAAATATTAAACATAGAAACTATATTGTTATTTATGTTTACTTCGCTTAAGATTAAAATATCAATAATCATTTTAGAAGAGTTAATTAATTGTGTTACATAGCAAAAATTTTTTATCAAAGATCTTATGTTAATGTGGACAATATTAAGATAGATTTTATAAATAGGGGGTATATGCAAGCGAAAGTTGTTAATATCTGCACAATTTAATATTTCTTCATGATCAGAAAAGAGGACTTGGGTTACTAATTTTGAAATCTATTACCGCTTGGAACTTTGGCCGATTATTTCCGTTAGTGCTGAGAGCTTCTCAATGTCAGCTTCGCTTCGCGCGACCTTTGGCTTAATTTTGTCGTGTTTACGTAGTAGCACCTTTCCATCTTGGAACCAGACGTATTTGTAGGCCGGTCTTAGTTTTTGTTGTGCTAGCCATAATAACGACTTATTGGCTTTGGTCAGGGCGCGTCGTATGATCACTTTCGTCTTAGCAACTTCCACAGGGGCCTCGGAGATGATTTGTTCTACCACTACTGCTTCCTTTTTCGAGGCTCGCACCCATAAGCTTACATTTTCTGCATGTTTGAATGATGTAAAGTTGGACTTGCGTTTTATCTCTCGTCGGTCGTTTCGGGTTGCCTCCAATTGGACTATAAGAGTGCATTATTCGATCCCATTTTCGCCTCTCTTACGGTGACACGTTTGTATTTGGAATATAAAAAAAAGTTACAGTCTATATACGTCCCACTCCTGGGCACAGGCCTCCGCTCATTTCTACCGCCTCATCCCCAAGCACGTGGTAAATCAGCACTTAATATCGCAATTAACAACTAAGCATAGGTGCCGGCGAGGTTCGAACGCGGTTTGCTCGCCTACTTTGAAAGTTAAAGCCAGCGCTAACCATCTGAGCTACCATGGCATATAATAACAAGTAATTGCAATATAGTAACAAGTAATAAAGCAAAATTTCAATAATTTTAATGAGTCTTTGCAAAAAACCTCTATTGCCCAAATAATCAAACGTTGCTCAAATTAAAGCGTCGTTAGGTCTCGTGCTGTCTCTATCATTTTAAGTCAAAGTGACTGTGACACCACGAGACAACGACATAAAGATCCGCAAAGAACAATGTTCTATTTTTTTTAGCTTAAAATGTAAAATTAAACCACCTGATGGTAAGTGCACCTCAGTCCAGCCCATGGGCTCTGGGAAGGCTACAAACGCAGTTTTCACCTGTGGGACTATGTAATGCTTCGCAATGTAATCTCGTGTGTAATAATACTGGCTCTTTATTTGGGTAAGGAACTCAAAAAAAAACACAATTTAAAAAAGTATATTTATTATTACTTTATGATACATATTTCAAACCGAATTAACAGGTTATCTCTTCGTAAATAGTAATCGCTGTGATATATCTATATCACTGTATTTTCACAGTTTAATTCTTGTTGCTATTTGTCACATAGTATGCGCGTATTGACATGTATTTACTGTAAAGGTAATAGTCACACTATTTTTTTTAAATTAAACGTCGTTAAGCAACTTCTATATTAACCTGCACATGTCGCTTTAAGCCACCTGCAGCAGTGTTTCCGCGTATACATCGCCATGTTCGTTGATGCCGGTACAGCCATAGTATCCAGAGTCACTACTCTTAGCATCGCTGAGGTGCAGATCAGCAATAGTCCGGTTACCCTCAGTTGATTGGTTCAGAGTCACTCCATCACGTTTGGACAGAGGCTGTGCGTTGTATGTCCAGGATACAGTGGGTTGGGGAACGCCGAGGATCGAACAAGGAATGACCACAGCTTGCCCTTCCTTCACCATGACTTGAGTTGGAGGTTTCTTGTCGAAGGCGGGGGGAACCTGGAGTAGGAAATTACTGTTAATTTAAATATTATATCACCAAATATTACATACTGAAGTCACACATATATAGTGGTTGGAAAACCTCTCGCAAAATAAATTACGTGGTAGAACCTGCTACGTAGCGCTGCAGTTATACTATGGTTGCAGCACGAATGGGTCGGCTCGACCGGGAAGGAACATGCTCTCACAGAATACCAGCGTCAAATAGCAGCGCTATGCCGCTGTGTTTCGTATGGTGAGTGTAGAGAACCGGAAACACTTTTTACTAAAGATTGAAAGATCATCTTAGTCCTCAGGGGTGACAACGCATCTGCTTTTTGATTCTTAAATGAGAATAAATATGGATGTTTATGGGCCACAGGTGGCATCAGGTGGACTGTGTGCTCGTTTGTCACCCAATGCTATAAAAAACATACATAAATCTTGCAATAATTTAGACCCCATATTGACATAAATGGACAGGAACAAGCAGCAATTAATTCGGTAGCAATATTATTCAAATACGAAAGCTGTTGCTTCTCGTGTCCCATGGTCCCATATAAATTTGATCAAGATCTGGGCAGTAGTTTTTGAGTTATCCTTAATAATGCGAATTTAATTGACTTCGACCATATTGATGATGTTCTCATTTTATTTATATTGTTGCGCGCATAAGTTGATGTCTGGTACCTGGCAATAGCGCCATCTTGTGTCGGGGAACAGAGCGAGGAGAGCTTTCTAGAAAATGCCATGCTGGAACTTTCCACCTCCAGCGCCATCTAGTAGAAGAACTAAGCCTTCTTGAAAACTCTACACTCGAACTTTCTCCACCTAGTCGATCGGGACCGGTGTTTGCTGGAATATTCTAGATGTTTCGGTGGAAAAGGCCTATTTAAAGCCGTTGAAAGCCGCGATCGGGGCAGTATTGAATTGGCGATACAAGCGAAGCTTCGGAGCGAAATAAAGTGAACTAAAGTGATCAGTGTGATAAATCATTAGTGTGATAAATCATTAGTGTGATTTAAGTTTTAATTTGTGTTCTGTAATTAAAGTGTCAATTTTGGTAATTCAATCGGCGGTTTTTATTGTCACGAACCCTAAGCTTGCAACAATATTGAAGTCGGTTGTACAAAGTTTTTAATTTTACCACTTGTTTGGCTAAGAAACCGTCAGGATAGGTATCACATATTTCTGTCGCCACTACAACATTGCGTACACCGATGTGTTCCTGTCTGGAGGATATACTGGATGACCTTTTTTACTGTCTGGAAAAAAATAGGGTGTAACATGTGAACGGAGTAGAAGCCTATGGTACTGATATTTTACAAAAAATGAAAACAAAAAATTTGAAAAATATTTTTTTGAATAATTACTTTGCCTTTTGTATTTGAGCTTGTGGCCCTGCAAAAGTCCAAGGCCAAATACGCTTACTAAATTTACTGTTTTATCACCGTTCGTAAAGTAAAAGAAGCATAATATGCACCCTGCATATGATTTGAATTTCGATAGATTTTAATTAATTTATTTATTTCATTCAAAATTTTTGTTTTTATTTTTTTGTAAAATATCAGTGCCATAGGCTTCTATGTTCACCTATTACACCCTTTTTTCCAGACGTTAAAAAGTAAGAGTAGTAGTATGTTGTAGTACTTTTTTATATATATAATAAGGGTGACAAACGAGCACACAGTTCACCTGATGGTAAGTGGATGCTGTGGCCCATAGACATATACATTTATCCTCTCTTTAAAATTTGAATCTCTCGTTTCCAATAAAAAAGGTCTCCGGTTCTCTACACTCACTGTACGAAACACAGCAACATTAAGCTGCTATTTTACGCGGGTATTCTGTGAGAACGTGTTCCTTCCCCGGTCGAACTGACCTATTCGTGTTACCACCATAATATAGCTGCAGCTTGGCTCTACAACGTAAATTTCATCATCATTACGCACTGAAACACTTTTTATTATTTTAACTTAAAAATTTTCGTAATAAAATGCATTTTTTTGTCATTCTGACACCCGTGAAATTTCTCACGTTTTTCTGGTTAATAATGAAAAAAGTTTGGCCCACCCCTGCTATAGATATTCAATTAAATAACTATAAAAAACTTTAAAAAATAAAAAAACCCCAAACTAAAAAGAGCTTATTTTATAGAAACACAGCTAAGAACACTATCGATTTCGACACCATTCAAACAAAAAAAGAAAACTTTTGCCCAGCCCTCTGTTTTCGTCGAGGGTTAAAAATTGATACTCACTGACAACTGTCAAATACATTGAGTGTTCTTTGGGTTTGCCGCGCTCGTTGTCGACCGTGCAGGTGTAGGTGCCCTGGTCGGAAAGCCATGTCTCGCGGATGAGGAGGCGCTTCCCTTTGCTCTTGTTGTAACGGGTCACGCGGTCCTGGGGCGAGTTGTTCACGTCCTGCCCGTCCTTGAACCAGTCCGGGTGTGCTAGGGGGCTGAAAACAATATTATACAGTCTCTACCGATCCGGTTGTCCACGAATATAAGCATTGTTTGCCGTGTGTGGTGTGAGGCCGACGCAAGAAAGAAAGAAATACGTTTATTTGGCACATACATATGCATGGCAAAGAAGAAACCATGCAAAACAAAGAATAAAAAACAAAAACAAACAGAAAAGGATATCAAAATAATAGGAAACACTTTTGTACTGTATTCTATCGCAGGCTAAATCGTATAGACGTATGTACATGTATTTGTTTCTTTTTAGCATTGAAGTAATATGTACTTACGTACTAGAACAGCTATCTCAAACAAAAAATGTGCGCTACTCTGTGTTCGCGCGTTTGGTTTTTTTATCATAGAATGAACATAGGTAGAATGATCCGTAGGTAATAGTAGATTGTATTGTTAAATAGCTAAATTATATCGAGAACAATATTTAAATTTTGTCATTTATTTTGTATATTATATTTGTTTATTTAATATAATATTACATAATATTATATCACAATTACATTTTGATGATATTTTTATCTGAATATTTTAAAAGGTATCTATGTCAAATATAAAAAAAAACATACTAAATGTATTTTTAACAAAACTTATTAACATAAAATTTAAATTACAAATATATTTATTTAAATTAGAATCATAAATGCTGTAAATAATCGTTCATAAATGCTGCAGAGTTAAAAATGGATGAATTTATTTCACTTTGACTTTGAAGTGGAAACCTAAAAAATAAAATAAAAGAATAGTAAGCAGATTTAAACATGAAAAATTTAGCCTAATTATAATAACTTATATGTTTCTACAAAAAAAAATGTGTATAATAATATATTCGTCCTAAACTTAAGTACCCACAGAAATGTCGCATCTGAACATATTAATTTCATAATCTATATTCAATGATACGAGATGGCGTCTTAGGAATATTTTTTTTTATTATTAATTTATAATACTTTTTTATTGAATAAGTATCTTATTAACCGATGAAAAGTAATTCCTTGGTTTTTACTGACATTTCTTGAATTATTTGTGCAATATCTAAGTACACAAGACGGCATATTTTTATCAAGAGATTTTTTTAACACAACACGTGACAACTCTACAAGCGCCTAGCGAGTGACTGAGTAAAGTGCAGTGCATGCACCGCATTTGAGTGGAACAGAGTAGCTGAATGCAGTGTCTCCTCTAGTACGTAGTACATAATAGCTCAATGCTTTTTAGTGACGCTTTTTTGTTTCGCCTGGTTTCAAATCTCGATTCTAAAGACGATTTCACTTAAAAAAAGACAAAAAAATGCTTTTGATCTTAACAAAAATATTAAAAATAACTTGTGTGTAAAATGGTCTCCACTCCGCTTTAAGTTACGAATTCAAGATAGACATCAATTCGAAACGGTGATTTTCGGTGGAGCATGGGTGTAGTCAGATAGGAAAATCAACTTATTGTAAGTCAGTGTCACCTGGTGATTAATGTCAATGAAGCTCTAGATGGTAAAACGTACTAGTGTAACAAAAGCCTGTTTACTGTTGCCTTGATGCCCAGATTTTACACGCTCGGAAGAAAAGACACGTCGGCAAATTATTATACTCCTTTAGCTTTTCGTGAGTTTAAAAAAACATTAAAATAATGCAACTTTAATGTTAAATTGGACGATTGAGATCTTACAACAGTTGAGAGGGTAATTAAATATTAAAACGACAAAAAGAACTTGTTCGATATTAACGTAATCTACTAACGTAAGTACTCGTACTACGAGTACGTTGTTTGACAGGTTGCTCAGAATTTAAATGCAGGCGCTTCAACGTACTTTACGCATTACAAAAAATAATAAAGCAAACTGTTTACTTCTAATTTCGTAGCCTGTACGTCTAACAAAGACTACAATATTATATAGGGAGCACTAATTAATAAGTGTCGTAAGAAGTACCCACGGGAAATATCAAAAAGATCATAAAGCTTCCGAAAGAAAGATGGCGGTATAACCATTTAGTTTAAGACAGACATATTTTTTTTACTTATTCTGTGGTAAATACCCAGATCAGAGATGTCTAATAGTCTTGGGCTCTTGGGGACTTTATTACACAAATTATAAAGTTGTATGTACAGCTTATTACATTCTATCATTTACCGGTGAAGCTAATAAAAAATGTTAAAATAACCCATAATGCGTTTACTTGCTGTAAAATGTTTAAATAAGGAACGAACTGTACATATCTTGATTCTTGTACCTTAGAGTAAGTATACATTAACTTGCTTAGTGTTTATTCTAAGAATTGGACATAATCATGTATATGGACATTTATGAAGACAATAACATTTCATATTCATAAAGATAATGTTGTTTTCATGGTTCGAACCTTTTGTCGTAATTGCTTTAATTTATGCAAAGTTTTCACATACATGTGCGATTCTTTAAACGACCAGCATTAGAATTATTATAGGTGCCCACTATTTGAATTGAATGTCGCCAAGCTCTTACTTTTTTAAACTGGGGTGACAAACGAATTTGCAGAACACCTGATGGTAAGTGGGTACTGTAGTTCGTGGTTACTTGCAGCCAATAGGAGGCTACAGGTACTTTGTCATCACTGAGGACTGAGGACTAAGATGGAATGCCCCTCGACCTGTAATTATACTGGTAACTGGCATTCTATAACTATATTATGGTGTTAGCGCGAATGGGTCGGCTCCACCGGGGGATAACACTCTCGCAGAATACCAGTGCAAAATAGCAGATTAGCTGCTATGTTTTGTATGGTAAGTTGAGTTATTAGATTATGGCCATTTTTCCAGAAACAAGACATTGAATCTCAGCCTTCAGAGGTTTTTACGTGGAGATTATCGAAGTACTGTTTTAGATAATATAGAGGCCACGTTGCAGCTATATTATGGTTGTAGCACAAATGGATCTGCTCTACAGGGGGTTCACGCTCTCGCAGAATACGAGCGTAAAATAGCACCTTAATGTTGCTGTGTTTCGTATGGTAAGTGTAGAGAACCCGATAACTTCTTTACTGGTACGCATCTATATTTTGATTCTTAATCGAGATAGATATAGATGTCTATGGGCTACAGCATCCACTTACCATCAGGTGGACCGTATGCTCGTTTCACCCCCATTCCATAAACAAAGGGGTGACAACGCATCTAAATTTTGATTATAAATCGAGGATAAATGTAGATGTCTATGATCCACAGCATCCATTTACCGTCAAGTAGAATATGTGCTCGTTTGTCACCCTTATTTTATTTAGTTAGCTACATATTTATTTATCTATGATTTTATGTAAAAAGCCCAGATCGTGTCTGTCTATCTTTATGCTATCGTCATTTAATTTCGCGTAGAGTTTTTCCTTAAGTTTTATAATGTTATGTTAATTTTCTGTAATGCGATGTAAATTATTCCATGCTCGTAAGTATACGGCTTAAAATAAAAATGACGCCCTGGAACTTACGCCCGGTTTCTATATTAAAAAAAAAAGTTTTGTTATTCCTTGCGATCTGCTATGCAATTCACGAAGTGCATGGAATATTTATTTATAAAACAGAACACTGGTTCAGCAGGTTACAATTTAAATTGTCGTAAGTAGTCGAAGGAATAGTTTTTAAATACGGTTTCAAGATGTCATACTTTGTATAGGAGCTCGTCTTGATATAGTACAGGAACCGGTATTCTTATACTTTCAATAAAACAGTTTGTAACTCGTATGAACTGAACGTTTCTAAAGTGCGGGAACACGATTTGTATGAAATTTACAACTTTATGTTGTTTTACTTTTAAGTATATCTGGATAGATTTCATGTATGAAAAACTGTATTTTTTTAATGTCGATCAAATCCCTATCGTGCAAACATACATACAGGCAAATAATAAACGCGTCTTATTCAATTAACTGACTTCAAAATCGAGGAGGATATCAATTCGAGTGTATGTTCTTTTTTGTATATGTATGATGTTACACGTTATCTTCGCAGATTGTGAACTGATTTCTATCTTTTTTTTATTAATAGGCTTTATCGCAAGGGTGTTCCCATATAATTTTAAAGAAAAAATTCTGCACCAAAATGTGGACAATAAGGGAAAAGTTTCATATTGGACTATTGTTTAAGGAATTTTATATAATATCTTCGCAGATAAAGAACCTATTTTGATGAATCTTTTATTTTTCTTTAATAGGTTTTACTTCAAGGGTTGTCCCATATAAATTTGTAGAAAAATCTCCACTTTTAAGGTTTGCAAATAAATTACTTCTTTCTTAGAAATTTGAGGTCGATTTTTCCTATTTGTTAGGAGTTATAGTTATTAAAAAGCGTCTTTAAAATGTAGATTCGACACTCACCTTCCGCCAAAGATGCAGTACAGCATTGTGACTTCACCAACCTTCACCGTCATATTCTGACTCGCATATTGTTCCACCACTTCGCTGTAGTCCTTGCCCTGGTTAGGTTCCACACCCTCGATAAAATGTTCAGCGAGCACAACGGGCTTAGTCGTAGCTGGTGAGGAAGCCAGGCATACGTATTTGAAATTGTCGTGAACGTCCATCTTTGTTATGTTCGAAAACCAGAGTGTGCCATCAGGGGAGATGGTAATTCGGCCATCACCAACCTCGTTCAAAACGCTGGGGTCCGTTTCGAGCTGGAGTTTCCATTCAATCTTAGGCTGCGGGTAGGAATCGGGAATCGGACAGTCGAGCATGAAGGGCTGGCCCTCGATGGGTCTGTGGCGTTGAGTAGAGACCTTCGGAACAGTTAGATAGGCTTTCTTTACATTGACGATACGTGTACTGGCGACACCGGAATCAGAAACCGCGAAGCATTGATAACGACCTTCATCTTCGTCTTTTGGCTTCAAGAATACAATCGTGCCTTCATCGTCACGTTTGAGGACGTCAGATGTGTTCCATTTGAATGGTTTGCCGTCCTTCTGCCAGGAGAACCTAATGGGAGTTAAATAAAAAGCGTTAACTACGGGATATCATCACTGGGGACATATAATGATTTCTTATAGGTATTTACGTGAATGCTACACATTAAATGAAACTAATTTTATGGAGTCTATCGCGTTTAATTTTAATTTTTTATATTCCGACATTTCGGGTACTTTACAACAAACGTCGGGAATTCAAAGGTTAAAATTAAACGCGATAGAATCCATAAAATTGGTTTTATTTAATCTCGAGCATGTCAAAAAGGCGATTATGTGAAAAGACAAACTTGTACAAAAAAAAAACAAATTCGTTGAGTAAACCTCTTTGTAAATTCCCACGGAATTCACCACACCGTATCATCCCGCGGGTGTCGTAAGTAACAAATCTGGAGATGGGCAGTAGTGTCTTCGTAATAACGACTAAAATAAAGAACTACGTTTGCCAAATCGCTTGCCAAGCTTGGCAACTATAGTATCCATCCTATGAAACAATCTACGAGGGGGAACGCTATGTTCAGCAGTGGACTTCAATAGACTGTGATGATAAGAGCAGCTTAATGTGCTGTGTTTCGAGTGGTGAGTATAGAGAACCGGAGATCGTTTTACCGGTCACGTGCCATTCTAACTTAGGCCTCGAGAGTGATAATGTACGTATTTGTCAACCTTATTCTATAATAAAAAACATAATGTATTTCTAGACATTTACAATTTTATAAGTGTTGTGTGTGGATCCCGTAATACCGAGGCACTACGTAATTTTTTTATAGGATAGGGTGAGAAACGAGCACACAGTCCACCTGATGGTAAGTGGTTGCTGCGGCCCATAGACATCTACATATATCCTCGATTACAAATCAAAGTGCAGATGCGTTGTCAGCCACGAAGACTAAAATAGAATGCCTAATTTCCAGTAACAAAGGTCTCCGGTTCTGTACACTCACTATACGAAACATAGCAGCATTAAGCTACTATTTCACGCTGGTATCTCTGTGAGAGCGTGGTCCTTCCCCGGTCGAGCCGACCCATTCGTGCGACAACTATACAACTAATAGTATAACTGCAGCAAGGCCACTCTACCACGTATAAGTTGTTTTTTGAGCACGAGGTATATCACGTAAATAAAGCAGTATCCCGGAGGATTTGTTTGTAAACGATACGGGGTAGTGGATATACTCTTACCATTTATACTTACTTCACATTCTGAGCACGGGCGGTGGTGACGCACGGCAGGGTCAACTGCTGAGGAGGGTCGACCACAGCGAAGAGGACAGTCGATGGAGCTTCCTCTAGTGTTGGTTTTTGCTCCACTGGTTGCGACGAGCCTGTTTATAATGATTTTTTATAGGATATGGTGACAAATGAGCACACAGTACACCTGATGGTAAGTGGTTGCTGTGGCCCATATACATCTATGTCTATCCTCGATTACGAATCAAAATGCAGATGCGTTGTCACCATTGAGGACTAAGATGGAATGTGTCGTTTCCAGTAAAAAGGGTCTCCGGTTCACTACACTCACCATACACTACACTCACCATACAAAACACAGCAGCATTAATCGACTATTTTACGCTGGTATTCTGTGAGAGCGTGGTGCTTCCGCGGTCGAGCCGTTTGTGGTGGCAATAAATAATTTTAAATGAGGTAGGCAAAGAATAAATTAGCGCAATGGCTTGATATCTCCTGATATGTTTTGGTTTGGATTTAATTTTATTAAGTATAGGATCCTAAGTAGATAATAACACCCAGATATCTTCTCTTTTGAAATAGGATGTTTTTTTTAATTTCAGTAGTTAAAGTAGGGGAATAAAAGGTTAAAATTCAACGCGATAAAATGTGTAAAATTAGTTTTATCTAGTTAGCCTGTACAATTCTTTTGTAAAAACCAATTTGTTAATTTCAATGTCTAAGAACAGTGTTTGGCCGGAGTTTTTCCACGCAGTAGCCACAGTCAAATCAACAAAAAAAAAAAAAACAAATATTGGTCGTCATCGTCATGTCGTGACGTGAGGCATGCTGCAGCTATGTTACGGTTGTAGCACGAACGGGTCGGTTCGATCGTGGCAGCACTACGCTCTCACTGAATACCAGCGTAAAATAACAGCTTAATGCTGCTGTGTTTTGTATGGTGAGTGTAGAGAACAGGAGTCCCTTTTCACTGGAAACGAGGCATTCAATCTAAGTTCTCAGGGGTGACAGCACATCTACATTTTGATTCTTAATCGACGATAAATGTAGATGTCTATGGGCAACGGCACTGACTTACCATCAGGTGGTCTGTGTGTTCGTATGCCACTCTTATTCTATAATAAAATATATCAAGTACTATTTATGCATTTGCACAAATATTGGCGCGTGCCAAGTTCAGATCTGCTGATTGGCTGATCTAAGATGAAGTTTTTTTTTTTCATAGAAGAGAGGCAAACGAGAATGTGCCTGATGATAGGTGCCTGCCGCCTATGATCGACTATAACACCGGCAAATGTCAACAAAGGCAAATTTTCTAACCGAATTCGAAAAGATGATACCAAATTCGACTGTATGTTTTTTTATGCGTGTTACCTCAGAACTTTTTTTAGGTGAACCGATTTTGACGATTCGTTTTCTATATAATTTTTTTAATACAAATTTGATCAAGATCCGACCAGTAGTTTTTGAGTTGTCCTTAATAATGCGTATTTGACTGGATGATTTAATACGAATACATTGATGATATTCTCATTTTATTTATATTAAAGTCGGTTATACAAAATTATTAATTTTGCCACTTGCTAAAAACCTTTAGGTTCTTGTTGAAGGTCCCTAGGTCGTATATTTCCGAAGTAGCTAGGTGACATTAAGTAACATGGACCCAGTCTATAAATTTACTATGCAAAACAACTTTTTACTTAGTATAATTTACTTCACTGCTCCGTGGCGCAGGGTCTTAGCAATGAGTTACAGCGCTGAGGGCCGCGGGTTCAAATATCGCACGGAACAAGTATTTATAAAAATATTAGATTTAATATAAAACTACATTTATGGGATTAGTTTTCTGATTAAAAACAGCTACTAATCGGGGAATATCAATTTTTTTTCTCTCCTGTAGTTTAAAAAAAAATTGAGGTTCGCCCCTTTTCGGCGTTAGCAACGAATAGTTCGGAATATGGATATTTGTCCTTGTGCTATTTATGTATATAAACTACCTCCACGATACAGCAAATAATCGTAGTGTAGAAGAAACTTTCTTTTTTAATAATATAATTAATACTTTTTTTATAAACGCAACATATAAAAAACGATAATACGATATACATTTTGATGTTTAGAATAAAAAAAAAACTCACACAAAGCTGCGAAGGCTGCAAGTACAGTCAATTTCTTTAGTATACCCATTCCTGTGGCCTGCATAATAAAAAAAAAGTTTTAACTTATATCTATACTATAAAAGAGAAGTGTTAAGGAAAAAATAAAAGTATCTTATTATTTTTTAAAGCAAATTACTTACTACTAATAATAATATTTTAATAAGTATACGCGTTATATATAAAAGTGATATTTTATCTGTATAAATAAATAAAATTGAAATATCTGTAATGTAAAAACAACATATTTTTACTATTTGCATATGAAAGTATATAATAATAATAAACATCATTTACTTCGGACCATGATCCATATGGGTTAGTAAATAATTTATAAACTAAAATATGTTAGTACATTAACTAATGTTAATTATTAAAGTTAAAATTAACGTTAAACAATAACTAAATTTGTAAGTAATTTATAAACTTAAGTATGTAAGTAACAATATTAACTAATTATAAGTTATTAATTCATATAATATACGGTACTCATAACAATAAGACATTTTTTGTCTGTCTGCTTGTTCCAACTAATCTCCGAAATGGCTTGACAGATTTTGACGGGAATTTCACTGGAAGATAACTGATGTTATAAGGAGTAAATTAGGCTACTTGTAAAAAAATTAAGGTTACGCGTAAAAAAAATTAAGGTTACGCGTAAAAAATATTAGGGTTACGCGTAAAAAAATTTAGGGTTACGCGTAAAAAAAATTAGGGTTACGCGTAAAAAAATTAAAATCCGTGCAATCCAATCGTAATAAATTCACGCGGACGAAGTCGCGGAGGAGAGCTAGTTAAGTAATTATAGCCTTGGTGGCTCAAAGGCTTAGCGCTCAAAAAATTTTACAGTACGCGAGCAACCAGGGTTTGATCCCCGCCATCACCAATGAAATTATTAATTGCAATTTTTAGTGGTGATTTACCACGTGCTCGACGAAGGAAAAACGAGAAAACCAATATATTTTAATATCACATGAAAATTTAACTTAAAATATTGTCTATACTGAAGTATTATAAATCAGGAAATCAATCAGTGATTTATTAAGTTATACGCAGATGAAAAAATTAAATAAAGAATTATAAAAAAATGGAAACAATTTTTGAACGCACCGTGGCTTCGCGCGTCGTCGGGAAATGCACTAATGCGGCTTTGACGAGAATTGCACTTTATATAATGCTCGCCTAGTCACAGACCATCTTCATGTAAAGTACCGCAATATTTACTAACAACCTTTTATGTACCTACTTAGGACTATTCTCGGATCAGATTAAGTAAATGACATAAATAATTACGTGTAAATTATTTTTAATGGTCAATTTGTGAAACGATTTGGGTTTTTACTATTCTTAAGATGTTTAATTAAATTTGTTAACTATTGAATTTTTTTTTTATAAAGCTGAAGTGATAAACGAAGTTATAATCCACCTAATGGTACGGGACTGTTAAAAGGCAAAGAAATGTCTGCCGTAATACTTTTTGTACTATTATTTATTCTGTGGCAATAGTCCTTGTATTATTATTTATTGTATGGTAATACCCCAATGCGTGTTGATGGACTTTACATATCTTCGGATATTTATTTTTTATTTTACAGACATTGAGATTTCTCTCCGATGTTTTTTTCACCACCAAGAACTTGGCATACCTATTAAACCTGTGTGCATAACGTTAATTTGTGAATTGAATAACAGCAACAACATTTTATAATAGAATAACATTTTTTACATGGTAGAGGCATACTCCAGCTATATTAGTAGTATAGTTGTAGCACGAATGAGTCCGTTCGACCGAGGAAAGATCACGGTCCCACTGAATACCAGCGTAAAATCGCAACTTGCGCTGCTGTGTTTCGTATGGTGAGTGTAGAAAACCGGAGACCCTTTTTGCTGGAATTGGATTCCATCTTAGCATCTGCATTTTGATTCGTATTTGAGGATGAATGTAGATGTCTATGGGCCACAACAACCTCTTACCATGGGGTGGACTGTATACTCATTTGTCACCCTTATCCTATAAAAATAAAACAGAAGTGTTCCCCCTTTTTATTTAAATATGCTAACAACTAAAATTATTATTCCAAATATAGAAATACTCTCCAATCAGTGAATGCAGAATGCGGTGGATGTTTCTTATTATTATACCCTTAAGGTCCAAGTCATCAGTTTAACGGTGATCGTTATAGTAAATTTAAAAATAAATAAAATCCCGCGTTCATGACCTCCTCACGAAGGCCAACGCAACTATCCACTCGTCATGGCTGGAAATATGCATATGTTTGAAAGAGTTTATCCATCATGGCTTTTCAGTTCCATTATAATATAATGAGCTTTATCTACGTAGTACACAATACCTCAATGTTCATCCTTCCATCCGATTGAATGTCCAATTGTCCTTGCTTACTTTAACTATCTGCTGAGAAGTTTTTAGGGCAAGGATGTGCACACCGTGTTCAGGGTTGTCATCACTGAGAGCTAAGATGGAATGCCTCGTTTCCAATAAAAAAAGGTCTCCAGTTCTCTACACTCACCATACGAAATACAGCAGCATTAAGCTGGTATTTTAAGCTATTATTTAGGTAGGTAGGTCCAAGAAATTGAAGTTGGACGCATAGACTATTGTGTAATGCTATAACCATCACGATTACAACCTGTTAAAAGTCATCTACTGTGCATAGGCTTCCACCATACTTTACCTCATAGGGGGTGTACGTAGAAGAAATTTTTATTTAATTATTATTAGCACGTGATTATCTGCTTGGCTCTACAACGTAACAAGATATCACGTGGTAGAGCCATGCTATTCTTTTACGTGGTAGAGTCACGCTTCAGTTATATTAGTTGTAGCACGAATGGGTAGGCTCAACCGGAATAAAACCACGCTCTCACAGAACACCAGCGTGAAATAGTTCGTATGGTGAGTGTAGAAAACCAGAGACCCTTTTTACTGGAAACGAGGCATTCTATCTTAGTCCTGAGGGATGACGACGCATCTGCATTTTGATTCTTAATCGAGGATAGATGTAGATGTCTATAGGCCACAACATCCACTTACCATCAGGTGGACTGTGTGCTCGTTTGTCACCCTTATTCTATAAAAAATGCTAGCTAACAAAGAGTCAGTCATTGATTGGCTACATTGAAAACCATATTGGTTGTTTGACAAAATTTAATTTTTGACGGAATAATCTACTGAATCTACGATGGGCAAGATAGGTTCTCAGGTGCCAGCCTCGTACCGACATGCGAAATGTAGGGCGTCCCCCACTAGATGGAGTAAGACACGCGGGAAGTCGATGGATGCTGGTGACTCAGGATCGTGCTTTGTAGCGTTCCTTGGTGCTGTCTATGTTCAGCAGTGAACTTGTAAAAATAAAGTTTTTTTTTAAATTTGGAGTGCGAGGGTAATATTGATATTGGCCTGTAATTTGAGACTCCTCTATCCTGTGTGTGTACAATATTAAGACCTGACCATAGTAAATCTGAATGATAATTGATTTTTTCTTTACAAGAGTCCTTATCTTGAAGACACCATTACGCATGCTGTTATTAATAGTAAAAGTCAAAGGAGGAACGACATTTATGAGATTTCAATAATTGATGAATAGACCATCAAACCGTATAGAACGTTAAAAGTACTCATTTTTTAGATTCAAAACCAATCCCTTAAATTTCCGACTTCATTGGTTTCAAGCAATAACAAAAAAAAAAAAGAGGTTATAGTATGTAATGCTAGTACATTATTAATAGGGTCGTAATTAGCATTTTGGAAATTACTAACAAGTTCCTTGCCAATATTAACAGATTAATTATTTTTACATTATTATCTGATAGCTACGGAGTAGATGAGCTTGTTAAAAGTTCTTTGACAGCGTTTTAATGTAGGTCGTGCCCGACGATTGACTGCCTCATAGTTCTATTGGTTGTTAATGCAATTGCTGGTCTGTGGTCCCGGGTTCGAATCCAGGGTCGGGCCAAAATCAGTTTTTGGGTTTTTCTGTCAAGAAATTCTCAGTAGCAGCCAGGAGTCAGGAAGTTGGCGGTTGCAGTTGCAGCAGATGGAAGTTGCCTCGGAGAGCGCTTAAAGCCGTTGGTCCTGCGTCTGATCTCTCTCAGGTTGTGTCGGATAATCGTCCTATCGGACTATGAGAGTGAGGGAATAGAGAGTGCACCTGTGCTTGCGCATACACTTAGGCACCATAATTGAGACTGGTCTGCTGAAATTTGGACTGGAGTAGGACATGCCCGAATAATTTCCCACACTTTTTATTGCTTCTTTCCATATTATTTATTCTCCATATATTCCATATTATTTTTACCTTCATCAAATTCTTTTTTGTTTTAATTTATTTATGTACACATCAAGATACAGAAGCAGCCTTATGCAAGTTCGTACAAAGGTTCTACTTATTTCATAATTTCTTTTTTTAACGATCTGAGTAAATTATTACAGAAATGTCTGTAACGAATATAATATGATAGTCTATGTAGGTAATATGTATCTATTAGCTAGTTGTTGATTAGCTTTAGAATGTAATTTATCCCTAAAATAATTTTAAGGCCTAAAATTATTTAAAACCCAGTTTTAACGAAACCTGTTTGTAGTTTTTATAATGAAATCACGCCCGCTTTAAGTACACTCTTTATCTTTCAACCGAATGGACGACTATAAAGTTTAGTAAACAGAGTAACTTGCTTCAGCGCAGTGACGATCTGTATTTATATGTATTGGAATATCATCATCGACATCATCATTATCATTACAGCCCTTAACAAGTTCACTGCTGAAGATAGGCCTCCCCTAAGGAATGTCACAAAGCACGGTTCCGAGCTACCTGCATCCATTAAATTCCTGTATGTCTTAACAGTTCGTCACTCCATATTTTATATTGGTATATAAAAATCTATATATTAATACGTGAAGGGAAAACTTTGTACCCCTATTTAAGCATATAGCGCGCACAGGGAGTGTGAAATTTGGCATAGTTAAAGTTTATATGGATTACGTATATGGACGAGTAGAGACAGTTGCCAATTTTTTTAATATGATGCTAAGAATTATTATTTTTTGTATAGGATTGCTGTGGCCCATAGACATCTACATGTATCCTCGTTTACGAATCAAAATACAGATGCGTTGTCACCCGTGAGGACTAAGATGGAATGCCTCGTTTCCAGTAAAAAGGGTCTCGGTTCTCTACACTCACCATACAAAACAACATTAAGCGTAAAATAGGAGCATTAAGCTACTATTTGACGCTGGTATTCTGTGAGAGCGTGGTCCTTCCCCGGTCGAGCCGACCCATTCGTGCTACAACTATACTACAAATATAACTGCAGCATGGTTTTTCCAGATGATATGGTGTTGCTCGCCCCGTTTGTTAGTAATCTTAGAAAATTATTACGTATTTGTGAGGATTATGCTGTTAGACATGGTTTAGTATACAATGCTAAGAAAGGCCAGTTTATGGTGTTTAGAGCTGGAAAAAAGTGTCCAAAGAATGTGGCTCCTATTTTGCTCAATGGTACTGCACTAGGTTGAGTAAAAAAGTTTAAATATCTAGAAAATTGTAAAGATGATATGGACATCGAGAAGGAGCGAAGGGCACTGTCGGTTCGTGGAAATATATTGATTCGTAGGTTTGCACGGTGCAGCAAAGAAGTCAAGACTACACTTTTTTAAGCCTACTGCCAACCTTTTTACGCATGCAGCTTATGGCAAACGTATAGAAAGCGCACTTACAGTGACCTTCGTGTTTTATATAATAACATTTTCAGGGCTCTGTTGGGGTTGCTTCGCTTTTGTAACGCATCAGGGATGTTTACAGAAGTACGAACAGATGACTTCCTCCTAGAATTGAGCAGAATGCGTGGCGGCCGCAACAGTATTATGAACATGAACATGTTCGCCGAACGATGTGACGGGCAAATGCTTATCATTGCAACGTTTGTTAAAAAGTGTTTTTACTTATTGAAAAAACTAACATTGGTATTTAAGATGCGCAATGTATTAGGTACTAACAACTTACACCTACCTACCTACCTAGGTCTGAAATAAAAGAATTATTATTATTATATAAGGCTCTGTGATACGATAGCTCTTCATCAGTCAATCAAATAATAAAAGGTCAAAAGGGCGCTGCTTTATCGAAGCCATTTTGACAGTTGACATTATAGTAAATATTTTGGTCGATTTTCGTATTGTGTAGTAGTCAGTTTTATTAAGTTGAGTACCCGGATGACCGAGCTTTGCTCGGTTCTTTTTTTGAAATTACATTTAAATACAAATTACATACTGATGAATAATAATTTTTGATCTTATTGACATAATAGAAAAAACTTAGTTTAATTAAAACTTTAAAACTTTAGTTTAATTAAAATTTTCGCATTTTTAAAAAATATTAAAAAAGGGCTCGAAATAATAGATTTTCTCACAAAAGAAGGGAACTTGAAAAAAAATCGGACTGAAGACAGGACGCGAACCAAGGCACTACGATTTCGCGACCGCTCCATATCCAACTGAGCTATTACGATCATTAACACAGTGTCAAAATTTACCTTCTTATACTGTAGCAGTTTTTTCATTGCCTGAAAACACGGACAAAAAGATATTTTCTAAAAATAAATCCTATCTAGAACGATTTATTGCCCCCGAAACTCGCTGGACACAAAATTTTATGAAAATCGTTGGAATCTTTTCCGAGATTCCGATTATTATATATATATATATATATATATGATTTTTCGAAGTATTTCTAATTATTGCTAGAGCTAGTTTGCTTGCTGGTTTTTTTATTTATATATAAAATTTATAGTTGATAATAACCCCTGGGAATGGGGTGGTCGCTTACAAGCTGTTTCTAAATAAATTTTGTAAATATTTTGTAACCCTCGACATTGTAAATTTATTAAAAAAAAGTCCCGCTGGGTATCTTGCGGGTTCTTACCAGGATAGAAGTTTTTTTCGAACCAGTGGTAACGTAAAATATTGACTTTCAATAAAAATTACATGTAATCTATATATTGAATAAAAATTGTTCTATTCTATTCTATAGCATGCGATTTTGTGTTTTTGCCTCTGTCCTCTTCCTCGTTTTGGTTTTTTAGGGCAGTAAACCTTAAGGTAACCATATTTACCCTCACGTAGGTACCTTAGTAGAGGATATTCTTACCGCAACAACACGGTATTTAAACACATTATTTAAAAAATCCTATTATTTTATTTCTCTTAGTTTTTCCTTTATTATTACGCCTCAATAATAGGTACTTATTGTTTATTGGAATAACCTAGTTGAATAATTCCTGACGCATTGAGGTGTCAAATCGTTTTTATTTGTCACGAATGAGAAGTAATTGAGGTGACGATGTGTATGTATCATGTGATTATATTCACTTATTAAAGTTAATGAAAGAATTTATGTAAAAATCTTAATAATATAAGTATAACACTTTAAATATCCCTAAGTATTATCTTACGCACCTGCCAACAATTGTCCTTGGCACCCAGGGTTGACTGGCAGAGAATACCACAAGGCATTAAGTCCGCCCTATGTAGTATGTACTTTTAACTTTTTTAAGAAAAAAAAACACTATAGTTTTACATTTAAGCTTTTTTTCTAAATCAGTTATTAGATTTTCGTGTCAAGAAATTTTCAAAAACAGTCCGGTGTAAGGAAGTCCGGTGTTTAACCTCCGTGCCTCGAAACGCTCGTAATGCCGTTTGATCCTGTGCCTGATCTTTCTCCAGTCATGTCAGATTGCCTCATCGGACTATGAGGGTGAGGGAATAGAGAGTGCACCTGTGCTTGCGCATACACATGGACACTATAATCCTGTCCTGCGCCGATGGCTAGTCTCCGTTGAGGCAGGCCACCGTGACCGAAATTCAGTCTGGAGAATTATTATTACATGTACCTATATGTGTGATTGTCTACGTGGCACAGTTAAGATACGACGTGGTATGGTTGCAGCACGAATGGACCGAGGAAGACCCACAATCTGAAAACCAGTGTAAAATAGCAGCATAAGGTTTTTTTTTTTAGATAAAGGTAACAAGCGATCACACAATCCGCCAGATGGTAAGTGAATGCAGCGGGCCATAAACATCTAGATTTATCCTCGTTTAAGAATCCAAATGCAGATGCGTTGTCACCCTTGTGGTCTAAGATGGAATACCTCGTTTCCAGTAAAAAGGGTCACCGGTTCTTTATATTCAGCATACGAATCACAACAGACTTTAGCTGTTATTTTACGCTGGTATTCTGTCAGAGCGTAGTCCTATCTCGGTCGAGCCGACCCACACGTGCTACAATCATAATATAGCTGCAGGTAGAGCCACGTATTTACTTTTTAGTTGTCAAGTCGGTTTGTACTTTCATAAAAATTTTAATATACTACCATTTTGAGTAATCTAAGTACATACATAAACACTCACGCCTGTCACCCACAGAGGTAGGCAGAGACTACAGACTTCCATTTGGCACGATCCTGACACACCTCTCTCGCCTCCTTCATATCCATATACCTACGCATACAAAGTCGGTCAAGGGTACTCCTAATTTGGCCCGTTTTCAATACATCGCTAATTTGGTCGAAAAATTTTCGCCTAGGACGTCCCATTCCGACTCTGCCATTCACTTCTGCAACATAAATTTTCTTTGTCACCCTTTCCTCATACATTCTTTCCACATGAACAAACCACCGAAGCATTCCTTTTTTAATCCTGGTCACAACATCATTTTGCAAACCACACTCTTCTCTTATCACACAATTTCTCACCCTGTCATTCAGATTCAGCCCTAACATACTCAAGTAATAATTTATTATAGCCAAAGAAATTAACCCGTTACATCGTTATTTACGTGTGTCTAATAAGACAGGGTGAATTATTTATCTTTTTATTTAAAAAATATTAGTAAAGCTATTAAAATTACTAATACTCTTGTTAAACATTTCAAGTTAGCTTAAAATGCTTATTTCTATGAGTGGTTCACGACAGTCGTCGAATGACGGATTACAATCCGCCACTACTTTCCGAGTTCCTTAACCTTTAAAAAAAATTAAAGGGATATTGTTTTACATTTAAAACTTCTACGTAGATAATAAACACATAAAATTTTCCAGCCAGTAACCAACATAAAATAAATCAAGAGGTCAATCTTAGGGATAAATAAGCAAGCTATGCTCTAATAGGTCAATTTATAATCTGTAACGTTCTAAAACATTTATGGTAATTGGTTAGTGACAAGATCAATTGCTATCTCAGTAAATAGCTCTGTTAGCTTCGGGATTCACCGCGATGCAAAATATAATAAGGAAAGAAAGACAGATGGTTTTCCTCATTGGAAAAAATTGTAAATCTATTATGTAAAAATTAATGTATGTTTGTTCGTATTTTATACGCTGCCATTACGTTCATCAGATTGTGGTAAAACTTTTTCAAATTATTGCTTGCACTTGCGCGGTTATAGGCATAGTACAATTAATTTAGAGTAGGTGGCACGCGTATTGTACCTATTAATTTATTTAAAAGTTATTATATCATTCAACTTCTTTTTTTTTTTTTTTAAGAAATTTAGGGGAGTTATATTATTCGATTAGGAATAATAAATTCATGAATTTATTATGAATTTATTATTCCTAATCAAATAATATACATAGAGTATATATAGAGGTCAGTGTTCCTAATCAAATAATATAACTCTTCTAAATTTAAAATAAATTTTTTTCAATTATATCTTTTGTGGCACCAACGGGCCGGGTACCAGCTAGTATGTATATGAGATAATTTAGAAGTAGGGATAATATAATGATAAATGTTGAGTTATGAACAAAGAATTTATTCTTTTTAGAGCACCTGGTCTCAACTAGGCTCTTTCTGAATGAGGGCTGTCCCGAAACAAAACAAATTAACTTTTCCCGCTATAATATCTGACAAATTTTTGCGTGATGAACCACGTTGCAACTATTTTCACGAATGAGTCGGCTCGACCGGGGAAGGACCACGCTCTCTCAGAATACCAGCGTAAAATAGTAGCTTAATGCTGCTCTGTTTCGTATGTAGAGTGTAAAGACCCGGAGACCATTTTTGCTGGAAACGAGGCATTTTATCTTAGTTCTCAAGGGTGACAACACATCTGCATTTTGATTCGTAATCGATGATAGATGTAGTGATGTAGATATCTATGGGTCACAGCAACCACTTACCATCGGGTGGACTGTGCGCTCGTTTGTCACCCTATTCTATAAAACAAGCGGTCTAGATGCGACCCGAAAGGTCCACACGACTAATTTCCTAGTAGACAGAATAAAAAAATATCATGCTTCAATATTTTATACAATTTTTCATTCGGCACAAAAAACGACTTGACCGATTTTGCTCAAAGTTTAATGAGGTCTATATCGAATGCGTTAAATGAAACTGGTCACATTTCAATATCACTCTTTGTTCTCGAGATACACGAGGCGAAAATTGAATCCTAACATACATACGTACATGTACACACACGGACATCCTCTTAAAAAACAACCAAAAAGAGCTGATCTTCAAACGGCTGAAAAAACTTTTTTAAATATCGAATATTGCAAATGTTGTTACAACTGTTCAAATTAAACGCCTTAAAGTGTATGCATATTTGCATGTAAACCTTTGTGGACATGTTAATGACCGGCCATAACACAATGTCAAAATAAATAAATAAAAAGTAATAGGCCAGTGTTGCCATATTCAAATTTTCGATTGCCGTGGTAAATAAGCAAAATTGCTGCGTTTGTGTGGAAAATAGGGTTTTTGCCGTTGCCGTAGCATAAAAAGTAAAATAAACGAAAAAAGGAAAGTAAAGCCGGCCAGCACATCACACTTAACCTACATTGGTGAGCGTGCGACAACATACGGATTTTTGTGATTTCAGCAATGTTTATTATGAAAATTTATGATAGTATGGTGAAGATGGCTTCGCCTGTAAATAAATTATGTGTACAATTTCTAAATACGACTCATTAAAATTAAATTGCAAAATAAAATAAAATAGATCCCAAGTTCTCGGATGGGTCAAAGAGGGTAAGGATGCAAGCCATAGTCGTGATATATTCACCGTCTTTTGCGACACGCTTAATCATTCCACAACATTCAGAGTACTTTCTTGAGGATTTTGTAAGAATATCGATTTTTTTAAATTGAGGCGATATCGTGTAGTGGCGGTGAAAGAATATCCACTACCCCATATTATCCCATGGGTGTCGTAACAGGCGACAGAGGGAGACAATTTAGAAGATAGGCATCAGCGTCTTTCAAATAACGACTAAAAATAAAAATAAACTGCGGTTGGCAACCTACTTGTCAAACGTGGCAACTAAGGCAAATATCACCCTTACGAGGCCAATCTACGGGGGAGGCCTACGTTCAGCAGTGGACTTGAATAGGCTGTAAAGGTAACGGTATATTTAGAGGATAAGACTATCGACCACATTTTTGGAAATGGCATTGGTTAACACAAGGTTTCTTGACTGAACCGATTTTAAAAATATTTCCTCTAAATGTATAAAATACCCAACTTTTAAGACAAGCATGTTAATTGGCATAGATTCTGCTGCGGCATTAAGGATGCTACCGTAGGCTCTTAGAAATATTTCCCTAATTTCCGCAGAACATGGCATTTGCCATATCAAATGGCAACACTGTGCAAGATACTGAGTACTGAGCGTGCTTTTCTCTGTTACTTAGTTTTTATTATAATTATCCGTACTATCGCGCCAATACTCTGGAGTCCTGGAGTTATAAAAACAGGTTGGCGTGGCTAGCTTTTACATAGAGGTCGTAGATCTTTGGATGTTATTCCTTTTATATAAAGGTAGTCTCGTTATTTCGAAAGCAAATAAAAATAATAATTTACATATTTGTAGAGGTGACGTGTTTAGCCGTGAGTCGTCTTGTTTTTATTTCCTTTGGGCAACCACTTTATCGGTACATTGAAAACCGGGCTTTTTATTCAGTAATAGCACAGAATAAATAAAAGTTACGAGAAGTAATAGTTCTTTACTCATGTGATAATAGCGAGTACATTACGGTTGTACTTTTACCAGTGTCAATTAAAAATAAATTATCGTTTATAATAATTTGTTTAGGGATATTTCAACAACACATTATTTCCAAAGAATGTGTCAATATTTTCTTAAAACTTGTAGATATTCAAGAAAACT